GCGACAGAGTTCGACAACGGCTTTTAAGAGCTACGATTGCTAGTCGGTTTTAAGTCGTACTTGCAGTTATAGTTATTAGACTTATCCAAGTGGGAGACTGTTGGATTAGGTGTCTAGGCCCATAACTATAATTGGTATGTACTTGACCCGAGAGTAGTATGGTCCATTTCGGGTTGCATTCACCAGGGAAATTTGATAGGATGGATATTTGAGAAAGAGGTTATCTGTGATTTATTAATGTATTATAAGTATAATATATTAAATTGAGAAATCATATTATTTAATTAGTATTGATCAAGAATTAATTTAGTGATCAAAAGAGACTAATTAAATTAACGGGGACTAATTATGTAAATCAGTGATACATATGGTTTGGGCTATTGATCCATGATGGACTAAGTTTATGTAAGTTTCCATGAAGAGTTAGTCCATATGAGTTATTGAATCATAAGCCTAAGTGTAAGAGTTAGGGTTTTCATATGACTCTTGGAATTCTACACTATATATGTATTTCCCTAAGCCTAAAATCGGACCTAGGAGTTAAAAGGAAGACCTAGCCGATTTTGTGTCTCAAAAACCTCTCTCTCATATTCATCAAATTGTTCATGGTGTGTTGTGAACCGTTTGAGGCATCACACTTGAGGTGCTAAGATCTTGAAAGGCCAAATTCAACAAGCTACAACAATAAGTAATATTCTAACTAGTTTTTATGATTCAAATATCAAATGTATGCTAGTTATAGGCTTCATGCTTTGGATAATTTTTATTACTTGTATAACTAGAGAAAACTTAGATCCAAAGCATTAGGGTTGTATGTGCACCATAGGAGTGTTATAGTACATAAAACCCATCACTTGTAACATCCCAAAATTTTCAGGTTAAACTTTCACTTTTATAACATCCATTTTAAAAAAAATACATTCAGGGCAATCATTTCCTCATAAACCATTATTTAGAAGTCAGAGTTATAATGAAGACAATGCGAAATTTTGAATCATAAAACCATTAATGTGTGTGTATAGTCCAGCCTTCGCAATCCGATAAATACCTGCAAAATAGTTAATCCACAACTATAAAAACAAAGCTTAGTGAGTTCCCCAAAAGATCACATATATCACATCATACTAAACAACTATGGGTTATCAGCAACCCTGGAGTCTATCAGCAGTCCCAATGGGCTAACAATATGCCTTGTGGATTAACAGCACACCTCTCGGGTTATCAGCAACCCTAGGGACTATCAGGAGTCCCATGGACTCACAGCAGTCCAGGAGTTATCAGCAATTCAGTTTGCATATAACAACAATCACAAATAAGACCCAGCTGGTCAGCATGTATATACTACCACACAAGCAAATATAGTGAGAAGACACACCTTGCAAGTAGCAGCTAAACACCACAACTCTCACCTAGTGACGACTGATTCTACAAGGCTCCTAACGGAAATAAAGAGTACCCTCTCAGTTTACACTCTAAAACCCTCAATTTGACCAAAAGTCAACAGTCAACAGTCAAAGCCAACAACCATAATACCAAAAACTGATTTTCACGTCATGACCAGCCCATGGTCACGTCGTGGCCAACAAGTTCAGCCCCGATCCAAAACTCCAGATTCGAACAACTCAGCCACGACCAAAACCATCGTCACTTTTTGAGGACCATGCCCTCACGTCGTGACTAAGCCAACCCAAATAATTGAGATAAATCTCATTGTCACGTCATGACCACCATATAGTCACGTCGTAAGTTCAGCAGATTGGGACACTTAATGCATTCAGCCCTAAATCCTTAAATTCGTCCAATGTAACTTTCTAGAGGGCCTTCTTACTCCAAAAACATTCTAAAAATTGATGCTTTATAGACATGCATGACCAATGCATGTGTTGAACTCATAAAGGTAAAAAATGAAGAAGAAATGGATCCACACTCACATGAATGACATCAAAACTCAGCCAAACCTCAGATCCATTACACACAATTTTAAAGGGACCACAAGGACCCATAAAGTTTCCAACTTTATGGAATCCATCCAAGCAAACTTCCACCATATGAAGTAAAAGGAACAAATAGCCTAGATCTAGAAGATAACGTCATAAAGTTTTGATCTTGAATACTTACAATGGTCCAGAAATGGCTCAAACTCAAACTCCAAGCTTGCCAAGAGGTCTTCTACAACACAAGGGTCTTCTTCCTCCTTATAAGCACACCAAAACTCCAAGAATAAGCAGATAATGAAGAGGAGGCTATTAGGGTTTGATCAAAGCTCTAGAGGGTGATGGAGGCTGAAAATGAAACCCTAAATCCGAGATTAAGGGCTTAAATACTAAAGGAAACCCTAAAAAATCATGGGTTTGGGCTGCAGCTCTTATCACGTCATGACCATACACATGTCACGTCGTGACTAGCCTCCAAATATACATTCTCTTTCTATAATTGTCAAGTTGTGACCTCCCTATGGTCACGTCGTGACTCATGGTTTTTCTTAGAAACCGTGTCTTTGACTCCTTAATGCCCTACACTGATCCATTCTAAAAAAGGGGTATTACAATTATTTATTTATGGAGTCTCTAATTTTGTATAATTCATCCTCAACGTATCGATAACTGTTTCTTCAAATTTCATCCTTACAAGATGCATATGTTATATATATAGATATATATATAGATATATATATATAATATATATATATATATATATATATATATATATATATATATATATATATATATATTATATATATATATATATATATATATATGATAGTTAGGTAATTAAAATTTATACAAATGACATCATTAAGGACCATGGCAACTAAACATTATGAACTACTTTGAATCCATCAACACATGCATATGAAATAATATAGTATCAAACACAATTGTTGCAATCCCTTTTTGATACAATCTAGTTTAAGGAATACACTTTGATTCCAACAACCCTTTCACTTATCGACATCCTTTTGTAGGTCTTTAAATATCTATCATGGTATTGCGCTTTGCTAAACCACTACAATAACCTTAACATTCACCATTAATCATGGGACACAAATGATGCAAGTAGTTGTATTTGATGCTGAATTTGAATTTCATGAACACAAATGATGCAAAACTAATATAATGGCCTTTCAGTAAACACAAATTTCGGCAAACAAAAATTTCAGATACCCAACTCATTTAACAAATCAAATGAACAAAGATTTGAAGCAACATATCAAATGAACAACTCAGTAACAAATCAAAATCAGCTCAAATTTCAGAAAATAACAACTTGGTAAACAAAGATTTCAGTAAATACATAAGCCAACCGATTTTAGAAAATCAACACAGCACATAACCATAGTCGATTTAGAAAATCAACAATGATTTTAGAAAAATTGAGAAAATGAAAAGAGAGAACTTATTTGTAGTACGCGACGGGAAGGCGGTGGTGTTGGACGGTGACGGCGTGGATGGTAGTCCTGCGTAGAGTGGTATGACGATGGAGCGGAAAGGGAGCAGGTTGCATTTTTGACGAAGAGGTGCGCATGGAAGAATGAAGATGTGTTTTTTTAGGTTTCAAAAGGACATGTCTTTTTTTTTTGTACCTTTGCAGTATTTGGAAGACTTTAGAAGCGACTTTCCAAATCTTTTAGGAATTCCAGAAAATAAACACAAACATACAGACTAGGGATGAGATTTAGAACCGGAAAACCGGACCGGAACCGGAATCGGACCGGAACCGGAACTGTTAGAACCGGAATATATAGAACCGGTTCCGGTTCCGGGTTTAAAAATTGGATTTATCCGGGTTCCGGGTAATCCGGGTTTGGGTCCATCGGGTCCGGGTAAACCGGGTTTAAAAACCGGAACCGGTGTTAGGAACCGGAACCACTTTTAGGGCCGGAACCGGTTTTTGTGAAACGTTTAAAAGATGCATATCTCATTCGTTTCAACTCCGATTGACATGCGGTTTTTTTCAACATGTAGTTTAGAGTTTGTACATGATTTTAGACTATAAATGTGCCATTTTTAGTTTTGTATTCATTGACTTACAATCCCCCAAAGTCGAGATATCAAAGCTGAAAGTTTTTAGTTTTTCCGTATTTTGTGAAAGTTGTAAAACATGCATATCTAATTCGTTTGAATTCGGATTGACATGTGGTTTTTTCCAACTTGTAGTTTACAGTTTGTACATGAGATTAGACTAAAATTTTGTCATTTTTGGTTTAATATTCAATGATTTACTGGCCCCCGAAGTCGGGATATCAAAACTGAAAATTTTCAACTTTTCAGCTATTTGTTTTTGTACTTTGTATTCTGTGAAAATGTTAACACATGCATATCTCATTCGTTTAACTTCGGATTGATATGAAGTTTTTTTTTCCAGAGTGTAGTTTAGAGTTTGTACTTGATTTTAGACTATAATTTTGTCAATTTTGGTTTCATATTCAATGAGTTACAGTCCCCCAAAGTCGGGATATCAATATGAAAATTTTTAAACTTCAACTCACTAAGTAGTAAGTAATTACCAAAAAATTCCGGTTTTTCCGGTTCTAAACCCACTTTATCCGGTTCCAACCTACCCACTTTGATGTTTCCGGGTTTTCTGGTTCTAGACCCACTTTACCCGGAACCGAACCGGAACCGTTTCCTATATACCGGTCCGGTTTCCGGTTCTACAAAATCCCGTTAACCGGTTCCGGGTCCATCCGGTCCGGGTTTGGACCCACTTTCATCCCTAATACAGACATTGTGACGTATGCGATATTTTCTTCTGAAAAACAAATATTTTTTGCCCGCCCATAAACTAAAGAAGTCGAAAAAAGGTTTCTTTAAAAAAAGACATCATCTTAGTGTTCAAATAGAGAAGTTCCAAACTATTTAAGTTTACCATTTGTGAAACAAAAAATCCTATACATGATAAATTCACATTTTTAACCCTCTATATTCATATATTGGCAACTTCCAACCTTGTTTTAATTTCTTTATTGCATTCTAACGGAGTTGCCTTTACAGAAACCAATGAAATCGTGTGTGCTCCCACCGTTATCGTCGTATGAGCCTGTCGATTTTTGCAACTCCATGTGAGTTCTCATGTAATTTGCTCCGGTAATCTTCGAAATGCTTTGTATCATTGCATTATCAGTTCATATTGTCTGTCATTAGGCTCTATTTCGACCTCAAGCTGTTTCCTCATTCGTAAGCCCTAATTATCCTGTCCATTTTCTTTGTTGGCTTGCGGATTGAAATCATAACGTTTTCTGAGTTGTTTTAATTTGACTTCAATTTTCGAAACCCCTCATCGATCGATACTCGATATCTTGTTTCGACAGTCGATGGCTTGTGGAATTCACATTTTAGCGCTGAAGTACTATTCCTTCTCGGCAATTGTGAATGAAACCAATGAACGTGCCATCGCTAAGGAAAATCCTGATTCAGTGCTTCACTGGAGAAACAAACATAACTTTGTTTCACCATTCCGTAACCAAAGGTAATGCCCCTACACTATATGAACAATATACATCGTGCCTTCCTAATAATATGCATCATTTTGAATAATTTTATTTGCCACAGGAATTGCTTGATAAACTTTATGGTTCTTTATTAGTATCTGATGTTATAGTGCAAGCTACAGTATTCCAATTTGGTTTTGGTATTTGAATATCTGTCTGAAGTTGGCAAGTAAAGCCTTTTGATTTTATAGGGGTTTGTATAGTTATGAGGAATTAGGTATTGCTGGATTGCATCCAACATAAAGAACTTTATACGATACCCTCTGAATACTGTAGTTGAATCCTAAACAAGCCTAACACAGTCTATTCTTTGCAACAGTTTCCGAAAAAGACAACGTACTATGGAGATGACTTTTGCTTTAAACACTGGTGGTTTACCAAACAATGGTGACCAAGAAAGCATCAATGGTGAAAGCCCAACGGGCCTAGGCCAAACAAGATTGGGCCGATTAGTGAGTGCAAGTGGTAGACAACTATTGGATAAACTAAACTCAGCTAGAAAGAATTTCCCAATGAAGGTATTTCTTTTACTCCTTGGTTTCTACACTGCAAATGCATTAGCTACAATCCTAGGGCAAACTGGGGATTGGGATGTTTTAGTTGCGGGTGTTGTGGTGGCTGCAATTGAGGGAATTGGTATGTTGATGTATAAAAAGTCAAATAGTAAGAGGTTTGAGTCTTTGATAGTTATGGTGAACTATTGGAAAGCTGGTGTTTGTTTAGGTCTCTTTGTAGATGCTTTTAAATTAGGTAGTTAATTTTTTTTTACTATATTGTTTGCTTTAGAGAGTTAGAGTAATTATATTCTACCTCTAAATTCCTTTTTGACTATTGAGAGATATTAATAATAAGTGTTTTACCGATTAGTCACACAGTCAATATGAGAAAGGTAAATTTCAGTGTATTAGAGCTAAACTATGACGCCCAAACTTGAAAGTAAAGGAATGTTTTGTTTTCAGAATGTTTATGAAATGAATGGAATATGTGAACATGAGGAATTCGAATATGAAAAAATTATAATATGTAACGTCGTTTGGTTTGGAGAAAGGAATCCCATAATAGAAATTGTATGATTTTTAAATTTTCAATTAATTAATTTTTTCTTTATACTTTTATTGATCTCGATATATATAAAGTAGGGTGTTCATGTTGTAAATGTATAACAAACAAATAGTTTTGCTTCATAATATCACCATAAATTTTAAAAAACAAATACTATCATTCAATTAAAAAAAATATTTATCTCGGTATATAAATGGGCGGTTACTGTGGTAAATGGGTCACGCTTATGCTTATTTGTTTTTTTTTTTTTTTTCATAAAACACAATTATTTAAAAAATACATAAACAGAAGGTAGCCATATGAAAATTTATGTTCACAAATTATAATTTTATAAGACTTATTTAACATATTTTTACCTTCTTTTACTTCTAGACAACTTGTACTTATTACTGCTAACCAATGGTTGAGTGTAAAAGGATTTTGAATAAAGGTGGGCACGTGAGGGTTTTGACTTTTTGACCGTCTTTTGATGCTTTTCTTGACGGTCAAAGATTTTTTTTAGTTATTTAATTTTTTTATTCCTTCAAGATTATAATTTTGTTTTTTTTTGGTAGTAGACAGACTTCAAACACCACATGTCCGTACCACCCTTCAAAATTACCTCCTTTAGCTTCGTTTTGCTAAAAAAATTTGTCCAAAGTGTCTCTGATTTTTATAAGAATTTAGTCTTAATTATTGTTAAAATAGAAACTATATATTATTAAACATTTAAACTATATTTTTGAATGAATCTAAGATACACTTTTGAACCGTTTAAAATTTAGCTAATAGTTTACTTTACTCGAGATAAAATTTTGTTTTATACCCCTTAATCATATTTTATATTTTCTTACTAGTTAATCTAGTTTGCTAATTATTAAAAGTAAAAAATAAATATTGTATAGTTTTTCTATTTTTATAACTTCAAAGTTCTTAAAATAGCCCAGGTATCAAATATGTTTTTTTTTTAATTGACAAATTAGAGGGGAGAGGTTTATAACTTCAAATGTTTCAAATTATTGAGAATAAGTGTTTGATTATTAGAAATAATAAAAAACTTTTGAAGATGGCTTATAAATTTAAGTATAAACATAGAATTCTGATATGACATAATAAATTAGCGTTACAAAAGATTAACCATTATTATATACGAATCAATAATGTCACCTATGAACATATTTATTAATCATATCACAGACAAATAAATATTCATAGATGACAAGGACAAGCCAAGCGATGTGCATTCTGGATTGTAGAATGGGCTTTATCCTCTCTTAGTTTGGAACGATCCAAACCGATCCTTTTATCTTTAAACAGTTAATATTATCAGTTTATAAACATTATTAATTTACTATTGTTTAGGAAAATGTCAAAAAGAAGGCCTATTATAGGTCAAGTATAGGAAAAACTGTTATATTTATTTTGTGCAAATTAAAACCCTCTCATACTTTCAATGCATACGCAAAAACACTATATTAACCACAGAAACAAATAAATTAATTTTTGACTGGTTAATGCTTCACATTTTTTTTTTCAATACATATGCAAAAACCGTGCATTTGGTAGATTTCCCTCTCCATTGCATGTAAACCTTCTACAAGATTTGATTCATTCTGAGTGCCCATAATCTTTTAGGATCACTGACATGCGCAACATATTTTACCTCAACTAAGTCATCATTGCAGCATACCATTTTAAGAAAATGAACATTCTCAAATCTATGATACTAACTTGGACAATTAGAATATCCTGAAGTCCTTTTTGTCTTTATAAACATTATAACATTTGGGCATATAAAAAAGGTCGAATGCAAGTCCTTAAATAACCAACTTCGTGGACAACTCTTTGTGCTAAGTAGTGGTAGTACCAAAAAAAGTTACCGCGTGAACATGCATTTGTAGTTAATAGGGTAAATAACCACCATTTCTTCTTCGGAAACACACACTCTAATTACATTAAAAATAAAAGTTACATCACATTAACATTAACTATAAATAAAAATAAAATACTTATTTTATTTCCAATGCCGATTTAACAACGGGTATATGACGGTTATCATCGTTTTGTCACATCCATGACCACATGTGTAAGTAACACATTTTCCTATGAGATTAAAATGTTCTTAAATCGGTGTTGATTGTTTGTCCTTAGTCCTTACAAAAGAATCTTGATGCCAATTTGAGGATCACTTCGATGAATTATCGTGAGCCTTCTTTTTACAATGAATAGAATAAAAAAAAAAGCGAGAAAACATAAACAAAGAAACGAGAATATTTTAAATAATTAAACAAAATAACTATATGTATGAAAGCAAATTAGAGATCATTTGGAGAGCAAACTAAAAAAATATTATAGGGTAGTTTTGGGAGACCAAACCAACTTTCCCAACAACGCCCCATTTACTTGGTGTATAATTTTAGTATATAAATGTGATGTAAATATTGAAAATACTAAACGAAAACTAGCATACTAGGACAATGAACCCATTATATATTTATATATTCGCATAGATTTGATAAATCCATATATCAAACCACAAAGACAATGAGTGAAATCTCAATAGTAGATGTTTGTTTCTAATTAAGCTATGTTCACAAAGTTAATATTCTAAGCATGAAGTACGAACCAAATCAATGAAAGACTTTTTGTTACTTTCTTAATGACAAGAGAATGTACTATTGGATTTGGTTATTACTAGTTTTAAATGAAGGAGTTGATGGATTAGTAAGATAAAATTAGATAGCATTTAAACAATCAATCATCTCATGAAATCAAACAAGATCTACTAAAACTGATTTCACAAAAATATTGGAAACATTCAAATTCTATCCCTAATGAACAATGAGAATCAAGAAAGGTTATTTAACTTGCATAACAATGGAATTCTCCATCAATTATGCTATCAATTCTAACAAAGTAATGTATGAAGTTCTTTATCTTAAAATATTTTTTTTTGAAACGGCAAATTTATTAAAAAATTGACCAACCTACTAGCCAGAAACTAGCAAGAGGACGGAGTCTAACAAAACAAAAAGAAAGAAATAACAAAACAGGATGTAAGGTATTACACATTTTCAAAGGGGATACCATCCAATCATCCCATGTGCCGACATTTAGGGGTGAGCATGATGCGGTTTGGTGCAGTTTTAAGGCCAAACCAAACCGCAAACCGTATGGTATGGTTTTTTCATTTTTAAAACCGTTGGGTGCGGTTTTGCAACGGTTCGGTTTTATGGTTTTTAAATGCGGTTTCGGTTTGTATCGGTGCGGTTTCGGTTTTAAACCGTGTCTAGACTTTGGTGCAGTTTTTTATGTTTATTGGTGCGGTTTTCTAAAAGCGTAAGAACTGAAAACCATGTGCATGTAAGCTTGTATTGTGATTTTTTTTTTTAATTTTTGAAACCATTCATTTCCAGCCCAAAACAAAAATACATAATCAAAAATTATAAATAGCTTAAAATACAACATGTGAGTACTCTCACAAACTAATTAATAATCGAAGGTTGGTTGACTATGACTTAATTTGTTATAAGCTTATTACACATGTCGATTAGTACGTTTTGCTAACAATAGAATTTTTTTGCAACCCATATAGTCTTACACAAACACTAAGTAAACATATAATAAATATATTATTGTTTATAAGTATTTTACATTGCATGTATATAATCTATATTAATTGATTTATTACTATACACGCTTGCGGTGCGGTTCGGTTTTGGTGGACCGGTTTTTTGGATAAAAACCGCACCGCACCGTTGACCTTTGGTTTTTGCAAAAATTAAATCCGCACCATTGGTTTTTGCACCGGTTTCGGTTTTTCGGTTGCGGTTTATTACAGTTTTGTCGGTTTTTCTTTTGTCGGTTCGGTTTTTGCTCACCTCTACCGACATTTATATCCCCCCTGCACTTGATCCAAAAAAACATCGTAGATTTGATGATCTCCGCTCCTCTTGTGGGGTTGGTGAACATCGTTTTGAACACCCGTTCGTTGCGGTATTTCCATATATTCCATAATACACCATAACATATGGTGAGGTAACGTTTACGCCTATTTAGACTATTGCCCCAAGACTCCACGTAGACCAGTAAGTCATTAACCGAGTTAAACGGTATGGGTTGTAAGCCGCACCATTGTAACACTTTCTCCCATACTACGCAAGCAAACAGACATTGCATCAGGATGTGGTCTGCGTTTCCTCCCCATTGATACATGCACCACATCTTAATGAATTCACACTGATTCCAGGGGAAGCTAATGCTACCGCCGAGGGTAGTCTATTTTGCATAGCTCGCCATCCGAAGCAATTTACTCTTTTTGGTACTTCCTTACTCCATTTAAGGATTGGGAGGAGTTGGAGAGGGTGTAAGAGAAGTTCGATTTTTTTTCCTCATATTGCTCACCGTGTACATTCCATCTAAATCATTATGCAGCTTCACCTGTCACCACCATTTACTAGACGAATATCCGATAGTTCTTCATTTAACTTAGCAAGATCGTCATTTAAACATGCATTTGTTGGGCACAATTTCCAGTGTCCAACGATTCTACCGTCAGCCACCTGATCAACAACCAAGCATCTCTTTCTGGATTCAAGTTCGTACAAAGCTGGGTATTTGTTTTTAGGTTTTCTGAGCCTAGCCATTTGTCAAGCCAGAACAACACATGCTCACCAGATTTGATCTGCAGTCTGAACACATCTCCAATATCCATTCC